ATTCTAGGGCATTATTTACCTGTCATGCCCACTGGCAGATTGTGGGCATGCAAAAAAACCAAAAGCCATATAATAAACAGCTTATTAACCTCAAACTCGGTCTTTATGGAAAAACCTCAAACCCTAGCCTTGCCGTATTGATCTTGATATCACTAAGTCAATACAGCTAGGTCTCAGTTTGAGATTTTCCCATAAAGACCTCAGTCTCAGTTAATAAGTAGTTAACAGACTGATCAAGTACATCACAATTTACTTATTTTTGATGTACATGATTTTTTCTGCAGGTCCGAGGGCAATGTTTGCAGCAGGGTTCTGTCAACTCGACACATGATAGATACAAGGTTTTTAATTACTTTTATCACAGCCAGTGCCCATACACTAAATGCTTTATCAAAAGCCTGCAAAATATTCCTAAAAGAAAAAGTCAAAAAAAAAAAAAACAGCTGCATTTCTTAAAAGTACTCCTCACTCATGACAGGCAGTTTTCACTTGTGCTCAATATACTTTTACATATTATCTATGGATTATGGTATGCTCCATAGAGAGTTCAGTTAGGGGTGATTGGTGCATGATTAGTGAAACGATTGCAGATATGATTAAAAACAATGGATAATAGTGGCAGTGGCTTGTGCCTGCTTAATTTATTGCTTTAATAGCACAAAGCACCATGTTCATGATTCCCCCATATGTTATTTTTTTTCTGTCACCTTCTAGACTCTACCTGATGATGAAGTTGGTGGTGTTAGGAAAACTGTAAGTATGTAATTCAACATGCAATCTTGAGGTGATCAAAGAGTATCGTTGAAACATATGTGTCAAAAGTGAAGTTATTTGTGACAGGTTTTCTTTAACAGTTTAAGATGAGCCCAATAACACGGAGACAAAGTTTTAGATTAGACAGCTTTATATTTTTGCTTGGCGTATATTTACCTGTAAATTTTCTACAGACAAGTACAAAAATAATTGTAAGATTTGATTACTGGATACCATACATACCTGTAGTTACCTGTACTTAGATTTAGAAGCTGCTACAGGACAAGTGGTGGTGTTATTTAATTACTAAGTAAAAGCTACTGTAGTTCAAACACCTAAAAATATGGGTATTTGTTTATTTTTTCAGCGAGTGACATCATCACCCAAAAACCTTGTCACAAACATTTTTCGACACAGAGTCTCAAGGTACCATCTCTGTTTTTTTCAGTAAAATTATAATTTTTTTGAAACTAAGAATTTGCTTCAAAGAATAATTATATTAGGTAAAAGTGTTCCCATCAATCATGTTCCACTTACAACGTTTGTGTTTCACATCATTGTCCTTCTTTAGGAACAGAGTGCGGCATGTGGATGAGCAGTTTGATCTTGACTTGACCTACATCACAGACAGGATAATCGGTATGACTGAATTTGACATAAAAGAACTTTTTTCCAAGCACTTTGCTGACATAATTTATCAAGAAAATGTTGTGAAAATGTTGTGAAAATGGCAATGAAAATATTCCCAGCCTCAAGTGGGATTTAACTTCGTCAACATATTGTTACTGTTTCTAATTATTGGCGATTGTTTTTGGAATACAGCAATGTCATTTCCTGGATCTGGTCTGGAAACAACTTACAGAAATAACCTGAGAGAAGTGGCAAAGATGCTGCAGACAAACCATCAGGATAAGTACATGGTAAGATGTGATACCCATCTGGGACATGGGTGGGGATGAGAGGTAGCTTACTAGACAGCTGGGACAATGAGGTATTTCCCATGTATGCCTGGAACTGACTTTTGTCTCCTAAGAGCTGATCGGACAAGGTTGGAGGTTGCATAAGCTAGTTCCTTTGGTCTGAAATTTATTTGCAGGGTGTTAGCCAGCCACTCTCAACTGGATACCCTGATCCAAACAGGGTTGGGTGAGGTGTGCATGTAACAGTAAATCAAGCTTAGCCTTCATAAATTTATAGTACAGTCCCTCTGACAATGCATACTATGTAATATATGTCTACAGTTTAATTTATCATTTTACCGCACTGTTATCTTTTGTGTGTTTCAGGTTTTTAATTTATCTGAAAGAAGATATGACATATCCAAACTAAATCACCAGGTAGAGTGATTGAGTTCATTTACTAATAAATAGTATGTTGTTTAAATTTTCCAAAAAAAAAATGAAGATGACTGGCTGTGTGATCTGTATGTCTGCCTCTGGTCAGATATTTTCTTATATACATGTACTCTGACACATGAATTAAGTTGGATTGA